GATGAGACTTCAACAGGTAAGATCTACCTCTGCAGAATCCTGGGAGAGGAGAAATCCTGGCGTTTCTCAAATACAGATAGGACCTCACTACACCTGGCCAAAACTTTCTTCCCCTAGTCGCACACACTGACTGCTACTCTCTACCCCAAAAAGTACATAAACAATCTATGAAATATTTTGCAATCCATCAGAATGGAAACATCTCTTTAACAAGAGCCTCATGATCCAGAATGATCACAAATACCTGCAGTGCAGCCCGTGGCATCCAAGGAATCCTGAAGCTGTTTCTCTTAAGCAGGGAGAGATTCAGGTTGCGGAAATGACAGCTCCCAGCAGGCCACGCTGCAGCAGGATCCAAAACGCTTGAGCGAAACTGCTCCGTCAGGATGGGATGCTGGATGACTACCTGTGGCATCTTCTCAGCGATCTAGGCCACTGCCCACAGGTTAGAGACAAACCTCCAGCAGAGATGCAGTGCTTTGCTGCGTGTGCCAAACGGGAGCCGCGCTTTCACAGGGATCCCTTGGAAAAGTAGGAGCAGTAAATTGACCACATTCCTTTTTATTACAGTCAAGGGCAAAGAGGAATGCAGTCGATTCAAGGTTATGTTAAAAGTCTACCTCCGCTGGAACCTGGTCAATCGGTGTTTTGCAAGGGCTTGTTTGCATAGCAGAGTGACTCACAGTAAACCAGTGCGAATTTTCCCTGCACTTCCATTACAAACCGAGGATGTTCACATACAGAGAAGCTGCTGTACCATAAACGCGCTCACTAGTTTATTGCATTGTAATTTCCTTATGTAGACAAGCCCTAAAGCCTTGACAGAAGTAGGTTTACCTTTGTCTGTTATGAATAGCAGACTTGTGAGAAGCTGGCCACAGAATAGGGAGAAAGAGCACAGAATTATGAATGGCTCCTAGCTCAATGTATACAGCTCCTATCGACAAGGGAATACATGTGTCTGAGTATGCAGCTCTTTATAGCTTGGTTTGGCCAGGAGCTAGAGCGCAAAAATTTCACCTTGGTCCCTCTGTGAAAGACAGGCACCTGGAGACAGTAAGAAAACATTTGGAAAGAAAGGGATACATGCTCTTCACTAACAGACATTTTTCTGCACGCAGTCGCAAGAAGCAGGTTCCGTTTGAAATCTCAAATCACGTTAATATACGGTCACCAGAGGCTGCATTTTTAAAGTGGCAGCTGGTCGGAGATTCCCTGGTATAACCACCAATTACGCAACAAATTCACCAACTAACATTCGATGGAAATTCAGGATTTGCCTACTGGTGTGAACAGGATGTAAGGAAAGCAGAATGGGTCAGAAAACAGCCTGAAAAGCTTGCATGTGAGTGCATATTTGCAGGGGGAGGGAAGCAATTCAGTAATAGGACTCAGACTTAAAAAAAAAAATAATTTGTTTTTCCCCTCCATCTGGACTCAAAGTAAGAAATTACGCAGATTTCCACTGCCCACTCTCCTTTTCCTTCCACACCCTCTTTTCATTGGCACGAGATAAAACCTTGGGGAAACAGCAGCAGCAATTTTCAATTCTCATTATCTAACGGCAGCAGTAGCTCTTGGTGAAACTTGCGGTCAATAAACTACAGGCAATTTTAAAAGACACAATGGGAACTGCCCCTCCCACAGCTGTCCCATTATCCCAGCTTTTATTAGATTTAAAGCTAGCAATTTTTATGCTGTAGCTGAAGTTCTGCAGAGCCACGAAAACAGACCACCAGAAAAGATAAAACACTCCCAAATTAAACAGGAGACATTACAGTAACGTACTCTAAAGCCAGAGAGCTTCCACATAAGCAAAGCACGGGACGCAGCAAGCAACCCAAGGCTGAAGCGGGCTGACAGCGCTGCAGCGAGCCAATGGAGACGCAACCAGAACTTAACATTCAGGATGGTATAAACGGCAAAGTTAGAGAGCAGGGCAAGTAGAAAGCATACGAGCTACAAAGGCGGACAATCAGAGCAGGATCCTGCTCCCATAACTCTATGAACGTCCCACTACAGGCATTAACTTTGGAGTTCAAGGTCCGGGTGTGCCTCCCAAGCGGCAGAGAGACATACTCACTGGTGGACGGCAATTCAGCCGCCCTGTTTCAGGTGACTGCTTTAGGATCAGATGGGCCATGCTCTAGCGGTGCCTACTGACTACGAAAGAAGCCCTGATGGGCAGAAAACATATGAAACAGGTAATGTCAGTTATACCCCTACCATGCACTACAATAAAGTAACCTGTTGCAGTAAGAGGGCCGGTACGGGAAATGAGTAGAAAATAAATGTCAAAACCCATTAGACGATTACCTGATATATTTGTCCGTGCGGCAGAAGTAACTGAGGGTGCCTCCCAGCTCCTGGCTCACAGATGTGCACAGCCATAGGCAAAGGGAAATGGGCGCCCAAAGGAACAGTCTCAGACCAACGCAGTAAGGGGGAAGATGCAAAGAATTATTCTCATCCACTGTAAGCTGTAATTTTCAGTCTAGAAATCTAGAGCTTGCTTTCTCTGAGCCTAATGTATACCATGCCCTGGAGACGTTTTTACCAGCCATCAAAAGGAACTTGCAGAGAACCAGATGCTTCATTAAAGAATATTCACCAAGCCTTATAAAATCTTTAGTAAAAAGCAGAAGAACAAATCACCAGCATGTAAGTGAGCTGAAGTCACACATCCAGCTTTCATTACAGCCTCCTGTACTGGAAAACAAATTGTGTTTAGAAAAAAGGAAAAAACCACCCAAGAAATTAAGAGATTCTGGCCTCTCTTTCCCACATTCCTCCAACCTGAATTTCCTGAATGAGGAACGCGTGAGACAAAGCCATTTGGTAGAAGATGCTAATTTAAACTTAAAGAAAAATAACAGCTTTAAAAGGGGAAGGGAGGAGGGAGTTTTAATGCTTCATAAAAAAACCACAACAGCTTGTGATCGTTACGTATATCTCAGGAGTCAGAGGACTCAGTCAGAGCAGTGAGGCAAATTGTCAGGGATGAGCTGTTCTGGGACAAAGGAAGCTACAGAAGATGCACTGCCTTACACAAGTTTTATTTGAATTTGTACTTGCAGAACCCTCTAGCACCTATACCTAGCTGCAAGGTTTAGTTACCTATTCCTTAGTCTCTCTCGCCCCTTCTTAAAACATAGCAAGGAGATATTCTGCCACATTGCCATCATCCACAGCAAATTCATGTCCTATGCACTGCTCTTTTCAGGAAGTTTCTATAACAGCGGGGAAAAAAAATCTCTGAAGTTCACTGAACACTCTGAGAAGCGAGACAACCCCTGGTTTTTGGTTCATAAAGAAAATCTACCAAAAACCCCCACCACCACACAAATCCAAGAAAGATCCAAGTTAATAGGATCTTTCACTGCCCTCTGCTGTTACCAGTCATTTAGCTTCCAATTTACTCTTTAATAACGTCGGGCTGGGGCTCAGGGCTGGCAGCGTCCCAGCCCCTTTCTCAGGCGGGTTGGAGCCGCAGCTTGCAAATATGCTGAAGTTTAATGCAATCTGTCTTCTTTGGTAATCACATTCCGCCCGCACTGCATGCAATAAAGATGTATCGGTAAATGCATTTGCTAAAGATATACTCCACTGAAAAGGCTACAGGCCTGATTTACAGGAGGCAAGGAGGAAGCATCAGGTAAGGGAGGCTGGCAATAGATGCGCCAGTGCTCTGCGCACAGCAACAGAGGGCACGGATTGTGCAGCGGCAGCGCAGGCACCGCTTTACTTTAAAGCTGAGAAAGAAAAAGAAACCACACGTTTTGGGAGCTGGGGACTTCAAAGATATCAGAGAAAAGCCCTTTCCCTGGCAGCTTTAACCTTGCTGATTTGCAGACATACAAAGACCTTCTTTGTAAACAGGAAGGAAAAAAATTCCACTAGGACTAGCAACAACATTTGGTCTAATATATCCTGACAATTTTCCCATCTCCTTCTGTCGGGCTTCTTCTGGGAGCCGGCTGGCAGCTTGTTTCATGTTATACTTAAATCAGGCATACAGCTTCCCCTTACAATGCTAATGCGACAGAGAAAGACTGCTTCTATGAAATCTCCGCCTCTCCCCCGCCCTTTGCATCAGTAATCCCATGAGAGGAGTCTCAGTTTTCTATTCCCGGAAGGCTCCATCCTTTTCCCCAAATCCACCTTACTACAGTCTCAGCACCTTTTGGAGAATTTTCTAACCCGCCCACAAAAAAAGAAAAGCCTGCCCTTGAGGGACACCTGACCCACTGAATTCTCACGTGGGGAACAGCATCCTGTACGCTCCAGACATCCCAGGCAGCAGCCTAGGTCTTACCACTCACTTTTCCCAAGACCGTATCCTAGTTGTAACGTCCAAATACTTCATTTTTCCTTTCTCCTTCGCTTGTTTCAATAGCCAGCAATTCTTCCAAGGTACTGAGCAGCCGCTGTCCTAAGGCATCAACAGAACCTACTAGGGCTCTGCACCGCAGAAGGAAGAGCCATAAGGCTTGCTGGCCCCCCGCACAAGATGAACAGTTTTTAGGAGTGTGCAATTTTCTTAACAGGCGGCAGCTTTGCCCAGTAAAGCAGCTTTCCTCATGCAGCAACGAAAGGAAGCAAGACCTCCAACTGCGAAGTCCCATAACAGGAGGATGTTTAGAGCCCATTCAAAATGTTGCTGATACTGGCAAAATGGATTTGCCTGCTGTTCGCGATATACAGCGTCCAAGAAGGCAAAACTTGGGAAAATTATTGTGACTGACTTTGAAACCTAGGAGCATCAGTGCTACTGTTCTGGGGGCAGCTGAGTATAACAGGACCCACTGACAGGAGTGAAGCTGGGCCGTACCACAGTGTGACTGGGAAATGTGGAATGAATGTGGGAAAACGGATCCCAAAGAAAAATTGTCTCCTATGAACATTGCAATTTGACTAACAGATACCACAGCTCTCAGAAACACTTCCCATGCAAAACAAGACAGCAAAGCCAGCAAGTACAGCAGGGAGGCTTTTGTTACCTTCTGAGCTGCACTAACGCAGCGCTGATACTCCTTAGCCAGCTCCGAGCATTTGAGCACTTCATGTTTGTTTTCTTGGTAGCACTTCAGAATTTCAGATTGCAGGCTTGCACAGACAGGATCAGTGTTCCTCCTCCTGCAGGGAAAACAAGCACAGAAAGATATGTGAAGAGGAGTTTTCACCCATTTACTACCATTTTACCAGTGACACACGTACTAATCTTGTGTTGGAGTCACCTAGCCCTAAAAAAATAAACTGGTGGGAACAGCAATCACCACAGTGGGTCAAATGACCGACAGTGTCTTTCAGCCAAAAAATCCAGAGTAGTTAGCAGAAAGAAGGAATACTTTCTTTCCAGGTTGGTGTCGAGGGCTGTTTTACCCTTAGATAAAACATTATCTCTCCTCTGCAGTCGGGGGCGGGGGGGGGGGGGGGGGGGGATATTTTATTTGTCCCAGGG